TTATAAGCGTCCGAGTTAGAGTCCAGCTCCTTGAAAGCGGCAGCTCTACCCTTTAGCTCAGTGCAGATGTTGCCTGTAATCCATGGCTTCTGGTTGGGGTATGTACATACGGTCACTGTGGGGATGACGTCATCGATGCACTTATTGATGAAGCCATTGACTGATGTGGTGTACTCCTCAATGCTATCTTAAGAATCCCGGAACATATTCCAGTCTGTGCTAGCAAAACAGTCCTGTAGCTTAGCATCTGTGTCATCTGACCACTTTATGAACCGAGTCACTGGTGCTTCCTGCTTTAGTTTTTGCTTATAAGCAGGAATCAGGAGGATAGAGTTATGGTCAGATTTGCCAAATGGATGGCGAGGGAGAGCTTTGTATGCGTCTCTGTGTGTGGAGTAAAGGTGGTCTAGAGTTGTTTTTTTTTCCCCTCTGGTTGCACATTTAACATGCTGGTAGAAATTAGGTAGAACAAATTTAAGTTTCCCTACATTAAAGTCCCCGGCCACTAGGAGCGCTGCCCCTGGATTAGCGTTTTCCTGTTTACTTATGGCCTTATACAGCTCATTGAGTGCAATCTTAGTGCCAGCATCGGTTTGTGATGGTAAATAGACAGCTACGAAAAATATAGATGAAATGTCTATTGGTAAATAGTGTGGTCTACAGCTTATGAGATACTCTACCTCAGGCGAGCAAAACCTTGAGACTTCCTTAGTATTATATTTTGTGCACCAGCTGTTGTTTACAAATATACACAGACCGCCACCCCTTTTCTTACCGAAGTCAGAGGTTCTATCCTGCCGATGTAGCGCATATCCCGTCAGCTGTGTGTTGTCCATGTCGTCGTTCAGCGAAACATAAGATATTACAGTTTTTAATGTCCCGTTGGTAGGATAACCGTAATCTTAGGTCGTCCAATTTGTTCTCAAATGATTGAACATTGGCTAATAGGATTGATGGAAGAGGCAGTTTACTCGCTCGCCGTCGGATCCTTACAAGGCACCCCGACCTACGTCCACGATATCTCCATCTCTTTCTCATGCGAATGATGGGGATTTGGGGCTTTTCGGGTGTCTGTAGGATATCCTTCGCGTCCGGCTCGTTGAAGAAAAAATCTTCATCCAATACGAGGTGAGTAATCGCTGTCCTGATATCCAGAAGCTCTTTTTGGTCATAAGAGACAGTGGCAGAAACATTATGTACAGAATAAATGACAAATAACGCGAAAAAACACACATAATAGTACAATTGGTTAGAGGGCTGTAAAACGGCAGCCATCTTCTCCGGTGCCACTTCAACATCCCCACAGCATGATGCTGCTACCACCATGCTTCACCGTAGGGATGGTGCCAGGTTTCCTTCAGACGTGACGCTTGGCATTCAGGCCAAAGTGTTCAATCTTGATTTCATCAGACCAGAGAATCTTGTTTCTCATGGTTTGAGAGCCATTTAGGTTAATTCCAAGCGGGCTGTCATTTGCCTTTTACTGAGGAGTGGCTTCCATCTGAACACTCTACCATTAAGGCCTGATTTGTTAGAGTGCTGCAGAGATAGTTGTCCTTCTGGAAGATTCTCCCATCTCCACAGAGGAGCTCTGGAGCTCTGTCAGACTGACCATCGGGTTCTTGGTCACCTCCCTGACCAAGGCCCTTCTCCCCCGATTGCTCAATTTGTCCATCTCTAGAAAGGGTCTTGGTGGTTCCAAACTTCTTCAATTTTAAGAATGATGGAGGCCACTGTGTTATTGGGGACCTTCAATGCTGCAGAAATGTTTTGGTACCCTTCCCCAGATCTGTGCCTCGACACAATCCTGTCTCGGAGCTCTATGGACAATTCCTTCGACCTCATGGCTTGGTTTTTGCTCTGACATGCACTGTCAACTGTGGGACCTTACAGTGGGGAAAAATGTATTTAGTCAGCCACCAATTGTGCAAGTTCTCCCACTTAAAAAGATGAGAGAGGCCTGTAATTTTCATCATAGGTACACGTCAACTATGACAGACAAATTGAGGAAAAAAAATCCAGAAAATCACATTGTAGGATTTTTAATGAATTTATTTGCAAATTATGGTGGAAAATAAGTATTTGGTCACCTACAAACAAGCAAGATTTCTGGCTCTCACAGACCTGTAACTTCTTCTTTAAGATGCTCCTCTGTCCTCCACTCGTTACCTGTATTAATGGCACCTGTTTGAACTTGTTATCAGTATAAAAGACACCTGTCCACAACCTCAAACAGTCACACTCCAAACTCCACTATGGCCAAGACCAAAGAGCTGTCAAAGGACACCAGAAACAAAATTGTAGACCTGCACCAGGCTGGGAAGACTGAATCTGCAATAGGTAAGCAGCTTGGTTTGAAGAAATCAACTGTGGGAGCAATTATTAGGAAATGGAAGACATACAAGACCACTGATAATCTCCCTCGATCTGGGGCTCCACGCAAGATCTCACCCTGTGGGGTCAAAATGATCACAAGAACGGTGAGCAAAAATCCCAGAACCACACGGGGGGACCTAGTGAATGACCTGCAGAGAGCTGGGACCAAAGTAACAAAGCCTACCATCAGTAACACACTACGCCGCCAGGGACTCAAATCCTGCAGTGCAAGACGTGTCCCCCTGCATAAGCCAGTACATGTCCAGGCCCGTCTGAAGTTTGCTAGAGTGCATTTGGATGATCCAGAAGAGGATTGGGAGAATGTCATATGGTCAGATGAAACCAAAATATAACTTTTTGGTAAAAACTTAACTTGTCGTGTTTGGAGGACAAAGAATGCTGAGTTGCATCCAAAGAACACCATACCTACTGTGAAGCATGGGGGTGGAAACATCATGCTTTGGGGCTGTTTTTCTGCAAAGGGACCAGGACGACTGATCCGTGTAAAGGAAAGAATGAATGGGGCCATGTATCGTGAGATTTTGAGTGAAAACCTCCTTCCATCAGCAAGGGCATTGAAGATGAAACGTGGCTGGGTCTTTCAGCATGACAATGATCCCAAACACACCGCACGGGCAACGAAGGAGTGGCTTCGTAAGAAGCATTTCAAGGTCCTGGAGTGGCCTAGCCAGTCTCCAGATCTCAACCCCATAGAAAATCTTTGGAGGGAGTTGAAAGTCTGTTGTCCAGCGACAGCCCCAAAACATCACTGCTCTAGAGGAGATCTGCATGGAGGAATGGGCCAAAATACCAGCAACAGTGTGTGAAAACCTTGTGAAGACTTACAGAAAATGTTTGACCTGTGTCATTGCCAACAAAGGGTATATAACAAAGTATTGAGAAACTTTTATTATTGACCAAATACTTATTTTCCACCATCATTTGCAAATAAATTCATAAAAAATCCTACAATGTGATTTTCTGGATTTTTTTTCCTCAATTTGTCTGTCATAGTTGACGTGTACCTATGATGAAAATGACAGGCCTCTCTCATCTTTTTAAGTGGGAGAACTTGCACAATTGGTGGCTGACTAAATACTTTTTTCCCCCACTGTATATAGACAGGTGTATGCCTTTCCAAATCATGTCCAATCAATTGAATTTACCACAGGTGGACTCCAGTCAAGTTGTATAATCATCTCAATGATGATCAATGGAAACAGGATGCACCTGAGCTCAAGTTCGAGTCTCATAGCAAAGGGTCTGAATATTTATGTAAATATGGTATTTCGGATTTTATTAGCAAAGATGTCTAACCTGTTTTTGCTTTGTCATTATGGGGTATTGTGTCGGTTGATGAGGGGGAAAAAAACAATTTAATCAATTTTAGAATAAGGCTGTAATTTAGCAAAATGTTGAAAAGGTGAAGGGGTCTGAATACTTTATGAATGCACTGTATGCATTTTGTATTTTAAGATCTGAATGAACGGGTAGAAGGAGAAGTGCTCGAGTGTAAATTATAAAGTTGTGGTGACTGGGCTACAGTTGTCGGGCATTCTTGGAAAGAATAAAAAGTTTGTTCCCTGACCGGGAATCGAACCCAGGCCGCGGCGGTGAGAGCGCCGAATCCTAACCACTAGACTACCAGGGAGCTCTGTTTGGAGCCTGAATGCATTTCAGATCGAATGCGTGACAAAAGGGAGGCGCCTCTCCAAAAGAGATGTAGCATACCGGACTGCCACCAGGGTGAGCACTTCTTTTACCCTAAGCAACCAGCCCCTTCCCCCATCCTTCCACCCTTTGAAGCAGATTACATTTTACATTTTCGTAATTTAGCAGACGCTCTTATCCAGAACGACTTACAAATTTGGTGCATTCACCTTATGATAGCCAGTGGGACAACCACTTTACAATTTATTTTTTATTTTTTGGGGGGTGGGTTAAGGGGGGATAGAAGGATTACTTTATCCTATCCCAGGTATTCCTTAAAGAGGTGGGGTTTCAAGTGTCTCCGGAAGGTGGTGAGTGACTCCGCTGTCCTGGCGTCGTGAGGGAGCTTGTTCCACCATTGTGGTGCCAGAGCAGCGAACAGTTTTGACTGGGCTGAGCGGGAACTGTGCTTCCGCAGAGGTAGGGGGGCCAGCAGGCCAGAGGTGGATGAACGCAATGCCCTCGTTTTGGGTGTAGGAACTGATCAGAGCCTGAAGGTAGATGGATGAAGAATGATGCATTTCTTCTGACACAGGCTTTCTTTGGTCTCATTTCCTCTCTCTTACTCTCTCTCGCTCTCCTCTCTCTCTCTCTCTCCTCTCTCTCTCAGATCCTGTTCTCGGCTGACGATGAGATGGACGACTCAGACGAGGAGGATGTGCGCCGGCTCACCGGCCTCAAGACGGTCAAGAAAAAGAAGCACCGTATGGGGATCCCTGTTTAACCTGGGCCTACCCAGGCTGACCTGGTCTAACCCACTCGTGTCCACTCGCCTCACGTCCCCACTCTCTCCCTCTCCAGGCCCCGCTGCCCTGACTGGAGCCTCCTGGGAACATGTCTAGATTCCTCTAACAGCAGGCTTGTATTGGTCTCTTTGTGGAGTGAGTAGGGTGCCTCTGTAGGGAGGTGGGATCATGGAGGACTGCAGATCATGGAGACTATTGGACTGCATTTACTACACATTCACATGGGACTCCTGCAGTCTCTACACTGGGAATATAAACACTTGGAAAAGTATTTTGCTGCAGCTAACAACATACCATGTCTATCTGAGATTTCACCATAGATCTATCACTCGTGGTTGTGACACTCATTGGGGAAATTAATTGTTATGATTGGGAAAACCGTTAACACTGGTGTATAGTAGGAACATTTGGATGTGGGTGATGCAGTATAATTGCTAGCACCCCTTCACTGTGGTTCCACACTGACTCTTAAGAGGCCCAGGATAATATTAACTGCATCAGGTTAAGCTGTGAATGGTTGTTACTTTTTCTGTGGTTTAGCAGGTGACCCCTGTTGGATGTAGAGGGAGAGAACAGGCACCTGGGATTGCGCTCAGCGTTTTCCCCTGCCTTCAAGCAAACCTCTGTCATTTTAACATTTTAATACATTTGATACTTATCTTCCAAATCTAAAAGTGATTGTATTCCTCATTTAGATTCCATATATAAAATGTATGTGCTCCTCAGCTAGGCTGACTGCAATGGCCTGTCATAAGAGTTGGTGGAGGTGTGTGTCTGTCTGTGTGAAGTTCCCATTCATGCATGTAAGGGAATGTGGGAAGTTTAGGATGCTCCTATGGAGGCTTTGCTCTGTAAACATGCAGTGTTTTATAATAACCACAGCACTCACGTTTCTAACTCCTTTAAGCCTATATCATGACTGCAGAGGGAGGACAGGTCAGGACAGTGCAGCTTGGCTGTGCGTGTCTCAACCATGCACCACCCAACCTTTAACCCAAGGGACCAAGACCCCTATTCCAGGCGCACCCAGTGATGGTACAGTCTGCAGGCCTGGATCGGACCCTTCTTTCTCTGTGAATGTGTGTATGACTGTTAACTGGGATCTCTTCTGTTACCTATTTATTCCTTGTCTTTGGTGTGTCCTGTTTATATATTTTTTTTACAGTAAGTTATTTTGGGCCAAAACCATGAGGCTGAACCAACACCATGCGTTCTTAATTCAGAGACGGAGTAGATATGGGACATGACGGTGTGTCCTCACAACTAACTCTCAAACTCTCTGCTCTTGACCACATTACTGGGCTAAGGATGTTGTTTGTTTGTTTTGTATTTATTTTGTGTTGTTCATACTTTGTTTTCGACAATGTGCCTGTGTGAATTTACCGTGTTTGTGGGTGTTTATCTTGTGCCTCAGATCTTCAGACTTGCAGTAGCATTCAGTTGGTTTGGCTCCGATGTTGAGAACTTGACAGAAGCTCTTACCTCTAGACTGGGAGTGACTTTTGGACCGGTGTACAGCCTACAGTACGGTGGAGAGAGCAGAGCGGGTATGTGTCAGTGTGTGCAGTGTTTTAGTACTCGACTGGTCTCTGTCTCGAGTCCAGTCTCGAGACCACATATTGAGTGTCTCGGTCTTGTCTTGGTGTCGGGAACATTTGTACTCTGTCTTGACTCGGTCTCGGACAGTGAGGACCCGTAATTTCTTGCGAAGACCAACAGAGTAAAAACATTTATAATTATCAGCTTCCATTCAGTCAGCGCATAAAACCGCTTCGCCAGGCCAAATATACAGTGCATTCGGAAAGTATGACGTTTTCCACATTTTGTTACGTTACAACCTTATTCTAAAATTGATTACATTTATTATTTATTTCCTCATCAATCTACACACAATACCCCATAGTGATAAAGCGAAAACAGGTTTTTAGAAAGTATTCAGACCCTTCGCTGAGAGACTCGAAATTGAGCTCAGGTGCATCCTTTTTCCATTGATTATCCTTGAGAAGTTAATACAACTTGATTGGAGTCCACCTGTGGTAAATTCAATTGATTGGACATGATTTGGAAAGGCACACACCTGTCTAAATAAGGGCCCACAGTTGACAGTGCATGTGAGAGCAAAAACCAAGCCGTGAGGTTGAAGGAATTGTCCGTAGAGCTCTGTGACAGGATTGTGTCGAGGCACAGATCTGGGGAAGGGTACCAAAAAATGTCTGCAGCATTGAAGGTCTCCAAGAACACAGTGGCCTCCATCATTCTTAAATGGAAGAAGTTTGGAACCACCAAGACTCTTCCTAGAGCTGGCCGCCCAGCCAAACTGAGCAATCGGGGGAGAAGGGCCTTGGTCAGGTAGGTGACCAAGAGCTCCAGAGATGGTCACTGACAGAGCTCCAGAGTTCCTCTGTGGAGATGGGAGAACCTTCCAGAAGGACAACCATCTCTGCAGCACTCTACCAATCAGGCCTTTATGGTAGAGTGGCCAGACGGAAGCCACTCCTCAGTAAAAGGCACATGACAGCCCGCCTGGAGTTAGCTAAAATGCACCTAAAGGACTCTCAGACCAAGATTCTCTGGTCTGATGAAACCAATATTGAACTCTTTGGCCTGAATGCCAAGCGTCACATCTGGAGAAACCTGGCACCATCCCTACAGTGAAGCATGGTGGTGGCAGCATCATGCTGTGGGGATGTTTTTCAGCGGCAGGGACTGGGAGACTAGTCAGGATTGAGGGAAAGATGAACGGAGCAAAGTACAGAGAGATCGTTGATGAAAACCTGCTCCAGAGCGCTCAGGACCTCAGACTGGGGCGAAGGTTACCTTTCAACAGGACAACGACCCTAAGCACACTGCCAAGACAACGCAGGAGTGGCTTCGGGACAAATCTCTGAATGTCCTTGAGTGGCCCAGCCAGAGCCCGGACTTGAACCCGAACAAACATTGCTGTAGAGACCTGAAAATAAACTGCAGCGACGCTCCCCATCCAATCTGACAAAGCTTTAGAGGATCTGCAGAGAAGAATGGGAGAAACTCCCCAAATACAGGTGTGCCAAGCTTGTAGCGTCATGCCCAAGAAGACTCGAGGCTGTAATTGCTGCCTATGGTGCTTTTCTTTTTTTTATTTAACCAGGTAAGCCAGTTGAGAACAAGTTCTCATTTACAACTGCAACCTGGCCAAGATAAAGCAAAGCAGTGCGATTTAAAAACAACAACACAGAGTTACATATGGAATAAACAAAATGTACAGTCAATAACACAATAGAAAATCTATATACAGTGTGTGCAAATGTAGTAAGTTATGGAGGTAAGGCAATAAATAGGCCATAGTGCAAAATAATTACAATCTAGTATTAACACTGGAGTGATAGATGTGCAGAAGATGATGTGCAAATAGAGCAAAAATAAATAACAATATGGGGATGAGGTAGTTGGGTGGGCTAATTACAGATGGGCTGTGTACAGGTGCAGTGATCTGTAAGCTGCACTGACAACTGATGCTTGAAGTTAGTGAGGGAGATAAGTGTCTCCAGCTTCAGAGATTTTTGCAGTTCATTCCAGTCATTTGCAGCAGAGAACTGGAAGGAATGGCGGCCAAAGGAGGTGTTGGCTTTGGGGATGACCAGTGAGATATACCTGCTGGAACACATACTACGGGTGGGTGTTGCTATGGTGACCAATGATCTAAGATAAGGCGGGGATTTGCCTAGACGTGATTTATAGATGACCTGGAGCCAGTGGGTTTGGCGACTAATATGTAATGAGGGCCAGCCAACGAGAGCGTACAGGTCACAATGGTGGGTAGTATATGGGGCTTTGGTGACAAAACGAAGTACTGAGTAAAAGGTCTTAATACTTAATACTTACGTTCTAAATTAGCAAAAATATTTAAACCTGTATTTGCTTTGTCATTATGGGTATTGTGTGGAGATTGATGATTTAAAAAATGTAGTTTTCCAATTTAGAATAAGGGTGTAACGTAACAAAATGTGTAAATAGTCAAGGGGTCTGAATACTTTCCGAATGCGCTGTATACACTCTTTTCTTGAAACATTAATATCTTAACAGCCTTTATATCTATTATAGACATGTTTGCGCAGTGGCAAACCTATAGGCATCCAGTGTGTGACAGGTTCGTGATTCTGTAAGGACAGCAACCGTAATACCAGCGCACTCATGTAGGAGTGCATTTTTTGTAAAACACAAAGGGCCAGTGGTATAGTTGAGGGTATACGCAGGTATAAGCCGTATGTGTCTGTGTGAATCAGAAATCTATAGGAAAACCGTTTGGGAACTTTTAGGCAAAATTAGAGTATACCCACTTCACCAGGCACCACTGCATAGGGCCGATGGAAAGACAACAGTCACACACAACATGATGTTAAAGGATAAGCAGTCCATAAACTCGGACATAAAAAGCCAGTAGGTCCCAATCATAAGAATACAAAAACACAACCATTAATAATTTCCCAATCGAAATGTACAACTATTACTTCCCATTGCAACACTTCACATTTAGCACACAAAGTAACCGGTGACCTAAAGTTTAAAGTGGAACTGACAGCGTTTTAACTACTTTGCAGATATGAAACAAAAAGGACAATCATAATATCAGTAAAAAATATCAAATTACCAGTTCATGCTACAAAACCAACTTTAAGAGTTTTTTTTAAATAAGTTATATTTGACTCAAAGTTCCATGATGTACACTAAGGCATTGTTGGCAGAATAGATGGATGCAGTTCAATTCATAATTAATATAATTCACCAATACATTTGTTGGTAGTCCAAAAAATATTGCTATCAGGTTGTAAATCACAGCTGGCCTGGTACATTGTTTGCTGCCTCGATTCGGGATGCACTGTTTCAGTTTCAATGACTCAATATTCTGGACAAAAACGGACGAATGTAACTAAGGCTGGGAATGTCAATACAATTAAACTAGCAAGGGCAATGATCACAAGTCAGTCATAACGTGGCTATAATGAACATCGTTATGTTTGGAGGAAAAAGGGGGTGGCTTGCAAGCTGAAGAACACCATCCCAAGCGTGAAGCATGGGGTTGGCAGCATCATGCTGTGGGGGTGCTTTGCTGCAGGAGGGACTGGTGCACTTCACAAAATAGATGGCATCATGAGGAAGGAAAATTATGTGGAAATATCGAAGCAACATCTCTCAAGACATCAGTGAGGAAGTTAAAGCTTGGTCGCAAATGGATCTTCCAAATGGATAATGACCCCAAGCATACTTCCAAAGTTGTGGCAAAATGGCTTAAGGACAACAAAGTCAAGGTACTGGAGTGGCCATCACAAAGCCCTGACCTCAATCCTATAGAAAATTTGTGGGCAGAACTGAAAAAGCGTGTGCGAGCAAGGAGGCCAACAAACCTGACTCAGTTACACCAACTCTGTCAGGAGGAATGGGACAAAATTCACCCAACTTATTGTGGGAAGCTTGTGGAAGGCTACCCAACACGTTTGACCCAAGTTAAACAATTTAAAGGCAATGCTACCAAATACTAATTGAGTGTATGTACACTTCTGACCCACTGGGAATGTGATGAAAGAAATAAAAGCTGAAATAAATTATTCTCTCTACTATTATTCTGACATTTCACATTCTTAAAATAAAGTGGTGATCCTAACTGACCTAAGACAGGGAATTTTTACTAGGATTAAATGTCAGGAATTGTGAAAAACTGAGTTTAAATGTATTTGGCTAAGGTGTATGTAAACTTCTGACTTCAACTGTATGTAAGTGTTTTTTTTTTAAGTGTCATTCTTCCTGGGGGTGTATATGAACAGATCTTAATCAGATTTAATGTTGCTAAAATGCTTGTCAGTTCCACTTTAAATGCAACAATGTTTCACACTAAGTTATTTTCAAGAGATGGCTAACAGCAAGCACACTGCAATAAAAAACACAGTTCCACTCTCCAGATGATAATTTGAAACTTAACTTCTTGTTGAAAGTTATTCTTGAAAGGGGAGGAGCTAGCAAATTAGCAACAACATCCTCTTTCATAACACCTGCTGCAAACTAGCTGACAACAAAAGCTAGCTAGCTAGACCGTGGGAAAACTACTGCTCGCTATTGCGCAGTGTTCTGTTGGCCTTCAAGAAGGCAGAAGTTACCATATGTTTTTGTAAAAATGGCCCCACTCATTAAGTCAAAATGTAATTGGTTGATTCTACTGTCACTACAAAAATGTTCCCTTATACAGCTGAATGGCAGATGCCTTTATCTAGCTTCTAATGGCCTAGCAAATGGCTGACTTAGCTAGCTAGATTTATCTCCCCAGAGACCAACAAAGAAAAATCCTGATTGGATCTTTTTTTCTCTTCAGTGTTAACCCTTTCCTTCCATCAAACCTGATGATTAAATCAGAACATTATTTAAAATATTATTATTATTATTATTATTATTATAATCATTATTTTATAAATCCTTAGCCCTTCTCTGAAGGCGTGGAAGGCCCATTGTTCCCCAGTGTGTTTGGATTAGTAATAACTTGTAGAGTGGCTCTATTTTCCCTCAGCAGGCATTGTTTAATGATTCTGAATGTCTAAAGTATCCATAAGTTGTTCTGAAATATGAACACAGAAATACTGGACATTTTGAACTCTCATTATGGTGGTGATTTGACAATTGCAATCATGGTCTTGAATTGGACTCACATTTTTCTGGTCTTGTTCTTGACTCTGTCTCAGACCCCTTGTACCCCTCACGGTCTCGGGCTTGACTCGGACTCGATTTGCTCCGGTCTTGGTCTTGAATCGGACTCGATTTGCTCCGGTCTTGGTCTTGAATCGGTCTCGCTTTAACACAACACTGAGTGTGTGTTTGTCTTAATGCTCCTGTAAGTAAGGAGTGGTGATAAAGTAAATGTGATGATGTTGAACGGTTTGAGTAGGATGTTGTTGGTTGATACAAAGTAATAACTGACTGAGGGGTTTGGTAAACGGTGGTACAGGTTGTCCTTAGTTCAACAGAGGGATTTTAGTACTTTACAAAAACTAAAATGACTGGCAAATTATGGACTTACATTACCATTAAAAATGTTTTTACAATAAAGTTTGTAAAACACTGAAATAACAGATTTTGTCTCTGAACAAAGACCTTTCTGTTTTGTCAATTTAGTAGGGTTGTAATGCGTTGTAGCAGAGTTTTTAAAAAGGTATGTTCCCTGGAATCGAACCCGGGCTGTGGCGGTGAGAGCACCGAATCCTAACCACTAGACCACCAGGGAACTGCTGGAGCATAGAATACTTGCACAAATAAGTCTCTTGGAATGGAGGGGGCAGACGATGAGAGTTATGAGGCAGGGGGAGGATTCTCTGAGATCAAAGGTCTCGGTAATACTCTAGACTGCCAACAGGGTACACATTCTCACAGTGACAGTGGGCCCTCAGTAAACATTAACAGGTGCAGTGAGATGTACGTCACTGAGTGAGGACACATTTCTCCCCATAGAGTAGACTGACTCAGAGAGTAATGTCTCAGTACCCGCAAATAGACCCCTCACATAATTCCCTCACTACACTGACTTTTCAAGCATTCAAAATGACTCATAGACTTATTATTGAAACACAAGCCTGGCTCTCAAACACTTTTTGACTCCTGTCCTTACTCGCTTGCCATTATTAAATCTCTAAACCTTTAGGTAATCCATTCAGAAAAGTATTTTTGACCTCAGGGTTAATGTGATGGAAGATGAACTCTGCAGGGTAGCCTAGAGGTTAGAGAGTAACCGAAGGGTCCACTGGTTGGAATACCTGAGCTGACAATGAGTGATAAATCTGCCAATGTGCAATTGAGCAAGGCACTTAACCCTCATTTGCTCCAGGGGTGCCATACTATGACTGTAAAACAACACATATTACTGAGTGGTGTGGCTTCCCAGAGTGATTTCTGTTCCTTGAAATCACTCCTAGCAGAATGTTGTGGGGAAAGGACTATGTGTTGTCTCGTTCACTCAGCTGTTCGCTGTATCCACATCGTAAACGAAGGAAGACCCGTTCCAGCTGCACAATCACTCACGTCAGACCTAATAATACACCCTGACAACGGACACAGAGCGAGAGAGGGATAGAAACAGAGGAGAGTGGGGGTCCACTGACTCACTCCCAGGGTCAATAAGCGAGAATAGCCCCCTGAGGATCTGGGGGCATAAATACAATGGACTGGACAGAGCGGAGCAGTCCAAACACACACACACACAGCTCCACTGACCAGAACTCTGGGATTAAGACACACAACCCACACACCATGTCTCAGGTAAGCAAACTTCCATGTATCCTACTGTGCTGACCTACTGTATCATCTATATGTCGCAGTTTTTGATGACAGCTACATTTACATATATTATTTCCTATGTTAAGGATTCCACAATGTTTACTTTAGAATAGAAAGATTGTGAGACAAATCAGAGGGAGAGTTGGAGGATAAGGGAAATCCAGAAAGGTGTGAGATTTTGCCCTGTCTTTAACCTCCATTCTCTCTCCTGCCCTCCATAGCCCGGTGAGGTAAAGAAGAAGAAGCGTCCTGTGATGAAGGAGGAAGACTTGAAAGGAGCCCGCAGCAAACTGGGGCTAAAGGGCGAGCCCAAGAGTAAGACTTATGAGGTCATGGTAGAGTGTGGTGAGTAGAAGCTTTACCACTCCACACTGTGTAATCGGCACAGCGTTTTACACACTGGCACTACTGTAGGTTTCCATTCTGGCTCTACAGACTCAGTATCTATAGTACTGTCGCTTGCCTAACATAATTTTTTCCACTTGTGTGAGCCTGTCAAATACAAGTAATGAATCACTTTCATATGAAAGGCAACTGACTGCATTCACCCTTTTGATATTGATCAGTTGTAGACACGAGTGTAGGGAACATATCAGGGAGAATAAAGTGAGACGTGAGCTTGGTTATACTTTTTAGAATGTTATCTCTGAACTCTGGCATGTTCACCAGCTCAGACTGAGTTGGTGACAAATAGTTTCCACTCCTTCTATAGAGACTGAATCTTGTATAATCAGTCTGTAATACTGAGGGTATATACATTTAGTTGGTGGCAAGATTAGAGAACTAGGAAGGAGGATAAAATACAACACAATACAGCATTTCTTCTAAAGATTATAGACACATTTCAGTGTATTGGTTTGTCAGTATGTGTGTATATTGCATCATGTTTCTGTGGTAGTGCTTGGCACGCCCCACTATCTTTGCTGACAGCCTTGTCTCTGTCCATCCACAGAGCGTATGGGGAAGGTGGCTCCCTCTGTTTTCAGTGGGGTGAAGTCTGGAGGAGAGACAGTACTGGAGAAGCCTAAAGCCCCAGGAGCCAGCATCTTTGGCAAGTAGAGCCATCCAGTGCATCCAGTGTGGAGGAGTGTTGGCTATCATCACTGCACTAGAGTCTAGAGGAGAGACAGGACAGACATGAATGGACAAACGGCACCGAAGAAGCCAAACCTTGCTGTTATTCAATGGTCTGATACCTGTAGTTTTTTTCATTTTCAGCACGGAAATAGGCCCATGTCATTTTGAGCTAGTTGTTCATACTAGGGTTTGTTCATACTGTATGATGACTGTTTTTGATTGAGAATTTCAAATTGTATGTCAATTGTCATTTGTAAATGCTGAAATATTGGTTTTATGTTTTTATAAACAAATGAATGACCTCTCTACTTATTGGTTATGTATCCTGTTGTTTGGAGCATTGAGTCACTTGTCATAGGGACATGGGTAGTGAGTGAAGTGTTTCATTTTTAAAATATTTTTTATATTGCAATATCATCACAACATTACTACACTACAATGTTATTACTACAAGATTAGCGTCTTAAACACATGGACAGGGTCATGTAAAAGTAGGGGTGTCAAACATATGTCCCACGGGCCGGATCCGGTCTGAATCTAGACAGGATTTAGTGAGCTAACTTTGGTCAGCTCTGCGTTCAACTCGGGATAACCGGTCCGGTGACATGAAAGTGGCTCACCTTTTAGCCAGGTACATTTCTGCAGGCTGACGTTTGTTGTCATGAATCTTGCTTTGGAGGCAGAACTGAACGATTTACGCTAGATGGGCCAGCTGCAAAGTCAAAACTGACAATCATAAAAATTCATGAAAACAAAAATGAAATGTTGTCTTAATTTAAGGTTTGCAGTGTGGTTAAGGTGAAGGTTAGGTTTAAAATCAGATTTTACGACTTTGTGGCTGTACGTTTGCCCACTGACAAAGAAATGATCAGTCTATAATTTTAATGGTAGGTTTATTTGAACAGTGAGAGACAGAATAACAACAAAAAAATCCAGAAAAATGCATGTCAAAAATGTTATATTGATTTGTCTTTTATACAGGTAACGAGCTGATACTAGGAGCACACTCTTAAAGGGAGTGCTCCTAATCTCAGCTTGTTACCTGTATAAAAGACACCTGTCCACAGAAGCAATCAATCAATCAGATTCCAAACTCTCCACCATGGCCAAGACCAAAGAGCTCTCCAAGGATGTCAGGGACAAGATTGTAGACCTACACAAGGCTGGAAATGGGCTACAAGACCATCGCTAAGCAGCTTGGTGAGAAGGTGACAACAGTTGGTGTTGATTATTTGCAAATGGAAGAAACACAAAATAACTGTCAATCTCCCTCGGCCTGGGGCTCAATGCAAGATCTCACCTCGTGGAGTTGCAATGATCATGAGAACGGTGAGGAATCAGCCCAGAACTACACGGGAGGATCTTGTTAATGATCTCAAGGCAGCTGGGACCAGTCACCAAGAAAACAATTGGTAACACACTACGCTGTGAAGGACTGAAATCCTGCAGCGCCCACAAGGTCCCCCTGCTCATGAAAGCACATATACATGCCTGTCTGAAGTTTGGCAATGAACATCTGAATGATTCAGAGGAGAACTGGGTGAAAGTGTTGTGGTCAGATGAGACCAAAATTGAGCTCTTTGGCATCAACTCATCTTGCCGTGTTTGGAGGAGGAATGCTGCCTATGACCCCATGAACACCATCCCCACCGTCAAACATGGAGGTGGAAACATTATCCTTTGGGGGTGTTTTTCTGCTAAGGGGACAGGACAACTTAACCGCATCAAAGTGACGATGGACGGGGCCATGTACCGTCAAATCTTGGGTAAGAACCTCCTTCCCTCAGCCAAGGCATTAAAAATGGGTCGTGGATGGGTATTCCAGCATGACAATGACCCAAAACACACGGCCAAGGCAACAAAGGAGTGGCTCAAGAAGAGGCACATTAAGGTCCTGGAGTGGCCTAGCCAGTCTCCAGACCTTAATCCCATAGAAAATCTGTGGAGGGAGCTGAAGGTTCGAGTTGCCAAACGTCAGCCTCAACCTTAATGACTTGGAGAAGATCTGCAAAGAGGAGTGGGACAAAATCCCTCCTGAGATCTGTGCAAACCTGGTGGCCAACTACAAGAAACGTCTGACCTCTGTGATTGCCAACAAGTACTAAGTCATGTTTTGCAGATGGGTCAAATACTTATTTCCCTCATTAAAATGCAAATCAATTTATAACATTTTTGACATGTGTTTTTCTGGATTTTGTTGTTGTTATTCTGTCTCTCACTGTTCAAATAAACATACCATTAAAATTATAGACTGATCATGTCTTTGTCAGTGGGCAAACGTACAAAATCAGCAGGGGATCAAATACTTTTTTCCCTCACTGTATATATATACAAACAAAAAAAGTATGTCTGCTCAATATAAAGGATCAAAACTGGCGGATGAATAAAAATAGCATAAATAAGAAAGTATATCAGTTTCATTTGAGGACCAGGATGTTGACAGCTGTGCCATACAGATTGCAAAATAGTTGGGAAGAGATTTTTGATGTACCGATTCCATGGTACAGGGTGTAAGAGTTGATATATAAAACGACACAAGATTCAAGACTTTGTACTTTTCAGCTAAAATTATTGTACAGAATTCTTGCCATCAACAAAATTTTGAATATTTGGGGCATACAATAATCGAAGCTCTGCAGAGTTTGTTGTGAGGATACAGAATCAATAGACCATTTATTTTGGTATTGCCCTCAGGTAGCCTGTTTCTGGTCTCAGGTTCAGGAATTGCTGAAAATGCATAACATTGGTTTAAAATTGACCCTAGAAATAGTACATGTACATTTACATTTACGTCATTTAGCAGACGCTCTTATCCAGAGCGACTTACAAACTGGTGCATTCACTTTATAGCCAGTGGGATAACCACTTTACAATATGTTTGTTTTTTCTCTTTCTTTCTTTGGGGTGGGGTAAGGGGGGGTAGAAGGATTACTTTATCCTATCCCAGGTATTCCTTAAAGAGGTGGGGTTTCAAGTGTCTCCGGAAGGTGGTGAGTGACTCCACTGTCCTGGCGTCGTGAGGGAGCTTGTTCCGCCATTGGGGTGCCAGAGCAACGAACAGTTTTGACTGGGCTGAGCGGGAACTGTGCTTCCGCAGAGGTAGGGGGGCCAGCAGGCCAGAGGTGGATGAACGCAATGCCCTCGTTTGGGTGTAGGGACTGATCAGAGCCTGAAGGTACGGAGGTGCCATTCCCCTCACAGCTCTGTAGGCAAGCACCATGGTCTTGTAGCAGATGCGAGCTTCAACTGGAAGCCAGTGGAGTGTGCAGAGGAGTGGGGTGACGTGAGAGAACTTGGTAAGGTTGAACACCAGACGGGCTACGGCATTCTGGATGAGTTGTATGGGTTTAATGGCACAGGCAGGGAGCCCAGCCAACAGCGAGTTGCAGTAATCCAGACGGGAGATGACAAGTGCCTGGATTAGGACCTGTGCCACTTCCTGTGTAAGGCAGGGTCGTACTCTCCGAATGTTGTAGAGCATGAACCTACAGGATCGGGTCACCGCCTTGATATTAGCGGAGAACGACAGGGTGTTGTCCAGGGTCACGCCAAGGCTCTTTGCACTCTGGGAGGAGGACACAACGGAGTTGTCAACCGTGATGGCGAGATCATGGAATGGGCAGTCCTTCCCCGGGAGGAAGAGCAGCTCTGTCTTGCCGAGGTTCAGCTTGAGGTGGTGATCCGTCATCCACACTGATATGTCTGCCAGACATGCAGAGATGCGATTCGCCACCTGGCTATCAGAAGGGGGAAAGGAGAAGATTAGTTGTGTGTCGTCTGCGTAGCAATGATAGGAGAGGCCATGTGAGGATATGACAGAGCCAAGTGACTTGGTGTATAGCGAGAATAGGAGAGGCCCTGGAACTGAGCCCTGGGGGACACCAGTGGTGAGAGCACGTGGTGCGGAGACAGATTCTCGCCACGCCACTTGGTAGGAGCGACCTGTCAGGTAGGACGCAATCCAAGAGTGAGCCGCGCCGGAGATGCCCAACTCGGAGAGGGTGGAGAGGAGGATCTGATGGTTCACAGTATCAAAGGCAGCAGACAGGTCTAGAAGGACAAGAGCAGAGGAGAGAGAGTTAGCTTTAGCAGTGCGGAGAGCCTCCGTGACACAGAGAAGAGCAGTCTCAGTTGAATGACCAGTCTTGAAACCTGACTGGTTTGGATCAAGAAGGTCATTCAGAGAGAGATAGCAAGAGAGTTGGCTAAAGACGGCACGCTCAAGAGTTTTGGAGAGAAAAGAAAGAAGGGATACTGGTCTGTAGTTGTTGACATCGGCGGGATCGAGTGTAGGTTTTTTGAGAAGGGGTGCAACTCTCGCTCTCTTGAAGACGGAAGGGACATAGCCAGCGGTCAAGGATGAGTTGATGAGCGAGGTGAGGTAAGGGAGAAGGTCACCGGAGATGGTCTGGAGAAGAGAGGAGGGGATAGGGTCAAGCGGGCAGGTTGTTGGGCGGCCGGCCGTCACAAGTTGCAAGATTTCATCTGGAGAGAGAGTGGAGAAAGAAGTCAAAGCATAGGGTAGGGCAGTGTGAGCAGGACCAGCAGTGTCATTTGACTTAACAAACGAGGATCGGATGTCGTCAACCTTCTTTTCAAAATGGTTGACAAAGTCATCCACAGAGAGGGAGGAGGGGGGGAGGGGGAGGAGGATTCAGCAGGGAGGAGAAGGTGGCAAAGATCTTCCTAGGGTTAGAGGCAGATGCTTGGAATTTAGAGTGGTAGAAAGTGGCTTTAGCAGCAGAAACAGAGGAAGAAAATGTAGAGAGGAGGGAGTGAAATGATGCCAGGTCCGCAGGGAGTCTAGTTTTCCTCCATTTCCGCTCGGCTGCCCGGAGCCCTGTTCTGTGAGCTCGCAATGAGTCATCAAGCCATGGAGCAGGAGGGGAGGACCGAGCCGGCCGGGAGGATAGGGGACATAGAGAGTCAAAGGATGCAGAAAGGGAGGAGAGGAGGGTTGAGGAGGCAGAATCAGGAGATTG